TTTTTCCGCTGAAGGTTGCGCTTTGCTCGTCGCGACCTGGGAGCGTGTGGTGAACCCTGAAGGAGGCGATCGGCCAATACAATTTTTTTCTATCAACGGAACACTACCGAAATGAAACGTTTAAGCTCCCTGCACCCGCCCGCGGCGCTATCAAGTGCTCCGCCGCCCCGCAGCAAATTGCTTCCTCAAACCGAGCATTCCGTCGCTCTTCTTTTTTTGCGGGGATCGGGGGCGTAATGGGCGAAAACGCGTCTTTAATTTCAAAAGTTGCGATTGCGCGCGAGTTAAAAACCGCTCGCTTGGGAGGGGGCAAGGGTTTACGTATGCGCTGGTGCACAGTGCACGCAATTCCAATACCACCCGGACGAAATTATTGAGTGCTAGTGATTCCAGGCCCGTGAAACAAATAGTCATTAGTCCCGTAAGTGAAGTGCATGTTTTTGTTCGGGAGATGTCAGTGGACTTTTTCCGTTGTATGGCGAGATCTGGGGCCGACCTACCGTCGGCTAGCGGGATTTCCCACAACCAGGTATCTCACTGCCCTAGCCGAGACAAGCTTTTTTGGTCCCGACCGGTCTCCCAGCATGTATGATAGTGTAGTGCATGTTAGTGGGTGTGGGTGTGTATAGGGTACGGATAGGAAAAGGAAGGAGGTCTGTGACCTGTTTGGTAGGGTTCTGCTCCGGCATTCGCCTGGTATTGATTGGGAAAACCACGGAAAACTATACATCAGAGCAACCGACCGCGAAAATTCTCCTCCAGACAGCGACAGAACCCGATCTTGCTATCTGCCTATCCTGCCACCATAGAGATTCGGACCTAGGACCTCCCGATCAGAGGAACTGCAGTTGCATCAGTTGATGTCCTGAGCCATCTCTCCTGGTCGGATGAAATGAAAATTTTCTGATTGGAAGCATACTTTTTATTGTATGTATTTGGCATTTTGGGATTTATTGTCTGAATTTGTTGGTTAGTTATGGAGAGGTTCCTATAAGAAGGGACCTCTTTGACAGCTTTTGCTTGGCCACTTCTGGCAATACAACTGCAGATTATGTCCATGCACTCATTTGGTCTGTGCGTTCGTTTACAGTTGTCTAATTGACAAATGGCTCCATCACTATACCTTGCAATGTCATCCCCCTACATAACGTTAATTTATTTCCCGACCTGTTAAAGTGGTCCCTTTTTGGAGTATTTCCTTTATAACGGTGTCCTCCGTTCCTGGGTCTAGTTGGATGCCCACGCTTGGGGGAGTAGGAGAGACATGTGGCGAACATCATGTATTCTCTTGACCGTAACTAGCAAACTCCGCCTGCCTGAGATTGTCTTCGTCACACAGCTGCTGAAACAGTATTTTAATGTTCCTTCCAGTCGCTAGTAAAACACTTAACTATTTATCGCATCTATAGATTAACAATAGCTGCTTTGTAAATATAAACAACATTTAAATAATTATTTGTAAATAGTTAACCGAGAAGTATACAACACTTGCTGTAGAAAAACAATGTTTACTATTAAATTTATCCTCTCATGATTTATTCCATTCACGGTCACAACCATTCATTCTCCGTATAATATTAGACCACGTTTACATTGAAAGTGAATTATCGTCAAATAGTATGTAATAAAAACTTTGTTTGGGTACTTTTCTCTCCTGTCAGAAGGGAAACAGTATTGACAATAGCATAATTTGTACAGCGTAACTCCTTATTTCAGTTTATTTGTACAGCGTAACTCATTTCAATTAAGGATAAATGTTTTGACTTTTTGTGTGTGTAAATTTTTCTCATCTACAGCTGCTCTTTTCACATTTTCTGCCAAGATGGAGCTTTTAATTTTTATACTTAACTCTTCACATTTCCAACATACCTGTGGCAATTTACAATTGTAACAAGAGACGTCTTGGACATGTGATGTTTCAACACTAAAACAATATATTTTAGTCACCATTAATTCGCACAGAGTGCATTGGGACATGATATTTATAGATACAAAATAGACGTACACACAAGCTGTACGTTTATATATATAAAAAAATTTTAAAAAAACGTATAGTAGACATGTGATGTTTCAATTCTAATAGATTCAATTATGAAAGTAGAGATTTTTCTCTTAATAAAACCTATATCTTAAAGATAAATTTTGGGAAAATGTCAAAATTTTTCAAAAAATTTAATACCTTTTGAGTAATTTTGCGTGAATTTACGGGAGAGAGAGGACGTGATGTTTTAAAACCACTTGTTGTATTTGATCTTTGTTGTACGAATTAATCTCTGAAGATATTGGACGTAATTTAATAAACTCGAAAGTATATGAAAAAAACACAAATTTCATAAGTG